CAGGTAACCCGACCACTTCCCAGCTGCCGCGTCAGTGCCACGCAGCTGTTCCAGGCTCCCGGGGGTCGTGCGGCACGGCCTTGGCGGCTCGGCGGCAACTGCGGCAACGGACGGCCGACGCACGCGTTATGGGGGGGGGGGGTGCATACGGCGAAGAGGAAGTTTGAGGTGGGGAGGGGGAGGGAGAGGAGGGGGGTGGGGAAGAAGTGATGCAAAGGAAAGAAGAGGGGGAAGGGAGGAAAAGAGAGGAGAAGATAGATACGGAGAGGGAGATACGGAGAAAAAAGAAAGGGAGACAGGAAGAAAAAAGAGTGGGAGAAGAAAAGGGACTGGAAAGTGGCAGTGAAAAGAGAGGCACAGGGAGAGAGAAGGATAGAAGAGAAGGAAAGAGGATAAGGGAAGAAATATAGGGGAGAGGGAATGATAAAGACAAAGATAAGGCTAAGAAAGCATTAAGAGAGAGCGAGAGAGAGAGAGAGAGAGAGAGAGAGAGAGAGAGAGAGAGAGAGAGAGAGAGAGAGAGAGAGAGAGAGAGAGAGAGAGAGAGAGAGAGAGAGAGAGAGAGAGAGAGAGAGAGAGAGAGAGAGAGAGAGAGAGAGAGAGAGCAAGAGAGAGAGCAAGAGACAGAGAGAACGAGAGAGAGAGAAAGAAATAAAGATACTTGTAGAACTGGACTGTGAGAATAACGCATCGAGGCGAAAAGGAAAGATGGAAGGAAAAGCAGAATCAAAGAGAGGCAAATAAAAAAGGCTCACGTGCACGAAGCATAAAAAAAAAAAATAATAAATAAATAAATAAAAATAACAGCCAGGCACACAGCGTAACGTCGCACATGTCCCCAAGACAGAAAGAAAACGCCTTTAGATTAACAAGAAAATTAGAAGCAGGCGCGGGGACCCTTGTGCGGTGTGGAAGTGGCTTATGTAGAGGGAGACTCAAGAAAAGAAGAGGGAAGTGCCGGTACTTGAAGACCAAAGGAGAAGCAGAAGGGGAGTAGAAGGGGGGAGGAGAGAAGGAGAAGGAGGAGGACGAGTGTTAGAGACGGATTTATGGTCGTTGGCTTGAAGTCTGTAATCCTTGGTCTCCCTGCGCCCCGCCCACCTCATGGGACGGCGCTCGTCTAGGGTGACGGCGGCGTGACACAGGGAGGGACAAGCGGGGAATTTCTATAGAGGATGGCGCGGGGGCGGGAAAAAAGGAGGCATGTTTCGTGGGTGGTGTCAAGCCCTGACCTTTGGCTCGTGTGTCA